TAATAGTAGGAGTAGTAGGAGTAGTAGTAGTAGTAATAGTAGGAGTAGGAGTCGTAGTGATGATAAAAAGTAATCGTCGTACCAGTAGTAGTAGTCGTCGTCGCAATAATCGTCGTAGTGGTAGCAATAGTGGTAGGAGTAGGAATCGCAGTAGTAGTGGTAGTAGTCGTAGTAGCAATAGTAGTAGTAGTAGTAGTAGTAGTAGTAGTAGTAGAAGTAGTAGTAGTAGTAGTAGTAGTAGTAGTAGTAGTGCTGGTAGTGCTAGTAGTGCGAGTAGTAGTAGTAGTAGTAGTAGTAGTAGCAGTAGTAGTAGTAGTAGTAGTAGTAGTAGTAGTAGTGCTCGTACTAGTGGTAGTAGTCGTAGTACGCGTCGTAGTAGTAGTAGTAGTAGTAGTAGTAGTAGTAATAGTAGTAGTAGTAGTACTCGTACGAGTAATAGTAGGAGTGGTAGTAGTAGTAGTAGTAGTAGTAGTAGTAGTAGTAGTAGTAGTACTAGTAGTCGTACTAGTCGTAGTAGTAGTAGTAGTAGTAATGTTAGTAGTAGTAATAGTAGTAATAGTAGTAGTAGTGGTCGTAGTCGGACTAGTAGTAGTGGTAGTGGTAGTGGTAGAACTAGTAGTAGTAGTTGTTGTTGTAGTAGTGGTAGTAGTACGATTGCTAGTAGTAGTAATCTTCCACCTCCTGTAAGACTCCTATAAGAGTAGTATTCGTAGTGATAGTAGTAGTAAGAATAGTCTCAGGAGTGGTAGTAGTAGTAGTACTAGTAGTAGTAGTAGTGGTAGTAGTAGTAGTAGTAGTAGTAGTAGTGGTAGTAGTGGTAGTAGTAGTAGTAGTAGTAGTAGTAGTAGTAGTAGTAGTAGTAGTAGTAGTAGTAGTAGTAGTAGTAGTAGTAGTAGTAGTAGTAGTAGTAGTAGTAGTCGTAGTAGTAGTAGTAGTAGTAGTAGTAGTAGTAGTAGTAGTAGTAGTAGTAGTAGTAGTAGTAGTAGTAGTAGTACATCCCCAAGACGAAAGTTTTTTCCTCTTGGGCCCGGAACGAGGGTGTGAAGTCTTGAGCAGACCCGAATGAGAAAACCGCCGTCGGATCCCATGAAGTTCGCGCGGATCGAAATGTGGTTTTAGTGTTTGTTTCGGTGGATCCGATTTCCGTCCGTACGGATCCGATTTCGGATTAGCTGGATCCGTGTCCGGTCTCACTTTTTACGGCGGATCCGATTTCTACCCTTTTTTAGATCTACATTACTAAATTCAAACAGGGGACCGGAAGAAATCGGATCCGCGGACACCGCACACCGCCCGTGTTAAGATTATATGGGGGAGGGGGGGTCGGAAATCAACTTTCCACGATGGGCCTTGCGTCGTCTCGCGCACTCTCACGCGAGCGGGCCCCATGCAACATGAATACATACATCCCTCCCCCCCCTGTTACTGCAAAGAGCTCGTCCGGTCGCCGTCCGTTCGGCGGCGCCGACGTTGCCTCGTGAACTCCGCATGGCCATTTTCACCTCAAGAGGAAAATCTTTCGTCCTGCGTAAGTAGTAGTAGTAGTAGCAGCAGCAGCAGTAGTAGTAGTAGTAGTAGTAATAATAGTAGTAGTAGTAGTAGTAGTAGTAGTAGTAGTAGTCGTAGTAGTAGTGGTAGTAGTAGTAGTAGTAGTAGTAGTAGTAGTCGTAGTAGTAGTAGTAGTAGTAGTAGTAGTAGTAGTAGTAGTAGTAGTAGTAGTAGTAGTAGTAGTAGTAGTAGTAGTAGTAGTAGTAGTAAGCCAATCGGAGTAATCTTCCACCTCCTAAAGAACTCCTATGGTAGTAGTAGTAGTAGTAGTAGTAGTAGTAGTAGTAGTAGTAGTAGTGGAGCCTAGAAGACTCCTATACGAATCCCATAGGATCCGATCGGGCTCCTATACGAATCCCATAAGATCGTATAGGACTCCTATACGAATCCAATCGGATCCTATAGAATCCCAAACGACCCCATAGGACTCCCATGCGGCCTTAGGGCGCGGGACAGGGTGCGTTTCACTGCGTTGCTTTGCGCCGGGGGGGGGGGGCGTGCGCCAGCGAGTGGTTTCGTCAACAACAACAACAACAACAAAAAAAAAAAAAAAAACATGCAGAAGAGCAGGGAGTAGGAAACAGGGTCGACGTTCGCGAAGAGGCCAGGGCTGGGAACAGCAATCGGTTCGAAGACGATCAGGTCGAGCATGCACTGGTGCTCGACCCACTGCTCGGAAACCGAAGCCGAAGTCGGGGCTGCAGTCAATGTTGGAGTTGGGACTGCCGTGATTGACAGAGACGTCGATTCATGGAGTCCCGGGGAGTGGTGGCACGAACCCTGGAGCCGTCCACCAACAAATAAAAAGCCAACTGCCACCTCCCTCGGCGTCGTGCAGAAGACGGAGAAGGCAAAGTGGTAAGCGTAGCCGATTCCCTCGCTACTCCCACTCGCCCAGGCCAGCAAAGTAGCTGCTAAACTTCTGCATTCAGCATCACCTCTGCGAATAATACGAAAGAGGTTTCACACAGTCAACGGAACGCATAAACAGCAGCAGCACAAGCAGGGAGAAGGAAGCAGGAGGCAGAGAGGAAAGAGGAAGGGGCGAGAGCAGCAAGGAGGAAGACAGGAAAGCGACCGAGTGAGGAGACAGCAGAGCAGGAAGGAGGGAGAGCACGGCAAGCGGAGCAGCAGGGGGACTGGAGACCAAGGAGCCGCAGGCCAAACAAGTGAAACACTGTAGCGGACCTGCCCCGCAGGATCACACAGCGGCGTCCAACAGCGGCGCAAGCCCCTACAAAAAGCTGAACCCGTGCATTACAAATACGAAGATCAAGGCAAGTCCGTGGATGCAGTTGCAGGCCAGCGGCTCCGCAGCGACTGGCAGCGGCCCCGCCCAGAAAGAGACGGAGGCGGCCCCAAAGCGGGGGAGCCAATGTCCTCATGCACGCCAGGGCCAGGCTAAAGCGCGACCCAGATCACTGAAGCAAAACACATCCACCACAAAGCATGCACAGAGCGGAAAATCACGGCCCTACCCAAAGGCGAAGCGGGCGGCAACGGAAAACAAGGAGGGAGAGGAGGGAGAGAGGAGGCGCAGGAGTCGGCAAGCTATTCGGCTCAGGAATCGGCGAGCTGGTCGGTGCGGGAGCCGCCAAACTGGTCGGCGTGGGAGTCGGTGAGCTGGTCCGTGCGCGAGTCCTCGACATCGGCACGGAGAAAAAAAATCGCACCACCATGCAAGACGCAACGAAAGTGTCACGAATTTCGTTGCTGGGATTGTGTGGTGGCCGGCGTGGGATTCAGCGAGCTGGCTGACGCGAGAGTCGGTGAGCTGGTCGGTGCCGGAGCCGCCAAGCTGGTCGATGCGGGAGTAAGCGGCCTGGTCGGCGCGGGAGTCGGTGAGCCACTCGGCGCGAGTGTCGGCGAACTGGTCGGCTCGGGAGTCGACGAGCTACTCGGCGCAGGAGTCGGCGAGCTGGCCAAACTGGGTGTCGGTGAGCTGGTCGTCGCGGGAGTTGATGAGGTTGTCGGCGCTGGTGTCAGTGAGTTTGACGGGCTGGGAGTCGGTGAGCTGGTCGGCGCCGGAGTCGGCGAGCTGGTCGGCTCAGGAGTCGGTAAGCCGGTCGGTGCAGGAGCCGGCAAGCTGGTCGGTGTGGAAGTCGGAGAGCTGGTCGGTGCGCGAGTCCTCGATACTGGCTCGGAAAAAGAACAACAACAACAACAACAACAACAACAACAACAACAACAACAACAACAACAACAACAACAACAACAACAACAACAACAACAACAACAACAACAACAACAACGACGACGACAACGACGACGACACAACAAAACAACAACAACAACAACAAACGACGACGACGACGACGACGACGACGACGACGACGACGACGACGACGACGACGACAACAACAACAACAACAACAACAACAACAACAACAACAACAACAACAAAATCGCACCACCATGCAAGACACAACGGAAAAGTCCCGATGGATCGGCGCGGGAGTCAGCGAGCTGGCTGGCGCGGGAGTCGGTGAACTGGTCGGTGCGGGAGTCGTCGGCACCGGCCCGGAGAAAATAGATCGCACCACAATGCAAGACGCGATGCTAATGTCACGAATTTCGTTGCTGTGATGGCGTGGTGGCCGACGCGGGATTCGGCCAACTGGCCGGCGCGGGAGTCGGTGAGCTGGTCGGCCTGGGAGCAGCTAGGCTGGTAAGGAACGGTGGCCCGGATCAGGGGGACCACTCGTATCACTCTCTCACGTGCATCATGATGCAATGGTGCACCCCGAGCCCAGGGCCACTGCAAAAAATTCTCCAGCCCTGGAGAAAATAAACCGCACCAACCTTGTACACGATGCACCGGTCGGTGCGGGAGCCGCCAAGCTGGTCGATGCGGGAGTCAGCGATCTGGTCGGCGCTGGAATCGGCGAGCCGCTCGGCGCGGGAGTCGGCAATCTGGTCGGCTCGGGAGTCGGTGAGCCACTCGGCGCGGGAGTCGGTGAGCTGGTCGGTGCGTGGGTCGGTGATCTGGCCGGCGCGGCTGTCAGCAAGCTGGTCGGCGAGGGAACTAGGCTACAGAACCGTCAGGATAAGTTCTCCCTCAAACTGGGATGGGGCGTGTTGCACATTGAAAGTGATGTCGACGTCCACAGGCGTGAACGCTCGAGTCATCTGAGTTCGGGGTCGGAGCTGGAGATGGCGTCGGAACGGGGATTTGAGCTGGCGTCGGAGCTGTGGCCGCGGCAAGGGAGTCGGACCTGGCATTGGAATTGGCGCTGGAGTCGGCGCCGATGATGGAGCCTGAGTTGGCCTCGGAGGGGGGGGTGCTGATGGCATCAGGGGCGTGGTAGCGGCTGCAGGCGGGTCCGAGCTGGGGGGCCGGAGCTGGTGGAAGTGCTGCTAGGGCCGCGGCTGGAGTCGGAGACGCAGCCGGCGTCGGAGGGGGGTCGGAACTGGCGTCGGAGCCGCGGTAGTAGACGCAGGGGAGTCGGAACTGGGGAGTCGTAGCCAGTCTTCGCTCTGGCACTGGAGTCCTCGCAGGAGTCGGAGCCGGAGTTGCCGTCGAAGGGGCGGGGCTGGCAACGGACTTGTGGTAGCGGCAGGGCGATCAGAGCTGGGGAGTCGAAGCTGGCGTTGGAACTGGCGCTGGCAGGCGGACTGGAAGTGAAGCCGGCGCTGGAGTCGGAGCAGGACCCAATGAGAACATATACGATCCCCGTCAATGCAAGACCAGTGCAACCCACGAAGAAGAGAGACCAGATGTCAAGACAAGGACTGTCCAAAATCACAAACCCCAGAGGTTGACGTCAGCGAAATCGGCCGCTGAAAAAGGGTGGTCGGAGTGTCAAGCTGAGGGGGGTCGGAGGTCGACAGGTGGAAGCGGGAGTAGGATGCAGGAGGCTGGAGGCCGGAATACTGCGTCTTGACCTCAAACATGAACGCGTTGCCGCCTTCGGCCTGCAAACACCGGCAAACCCCCGCAATATCGCCGAAACTCAAGATCGTCCCCAACAGCCTCGTGGAGACGCTGACCCATGTACCTCCCGTGGTAGTCACGGTCGTCGTGGCCGTGGTGGCAGATGTGGTTGTCCAGCAAGCATATGACGTACACTGACACCGCTGTAATGTGTCATGTGCGTATGCCTGCCTATGAAAGAGGCTGCGAGCATCAACCGTTCCATGCTGAATGGAAGGTCCCTTACCCAAAGGCAGGTGGCCGTCCAAGTTTGTAGCACTGGACACTGGAGACAATGCTCCACAGCATCCGCGGCTGCCTGGCATCCAAGCACGCAGGTGCGCTGCCTACCGCGCGAAGCCCGCATGCGGCGGTCAGCTGTGCAGCGGTTGAATATCGTACCCAGGACCGCCGCCCGAAGACGAGGAGGCACCAATCTGCGCAGCCTTCGGGAGGTCGCGTGCGTGCGGCGGGAAATGTGTCCCAAGTGCGCCACACAGGCGCCACCGCGCTGAACGATGCCGGACTCGGAATACTGAATCATACCGCCGGTGTGGCAGTAGCTGTTTCCCAAACCACCGCCGTGCACGTCGTTGAAACTACAGCCTCCCTGGTGCCGTCAGCGCACCCGCTCCTCCAATGAGCTGTCTCAGAGCAACGCCGCAGTCGATGCCTGCCATCGTTGCCTCGTGAACAGCGGCAAAAAATCGTAGGTATGTGCTGCTCGTACCAATGGTGGGGCCTCGCTGGGTAGACGACATGATCGGTGCTCCCGTGGCGTTCGCAAACTTCTCTCTGAAGGCGCATCCACAGAATGCCTCCGTCTCCACGCGATTGCGATGACTGCTTTGCGCTGGCTGGCGCAGCGCTGCGGCCGCGTCATCGCGCGCAAGCGCGCAGAGCGGCCAGCCAGTTTGGCGCGACCAACGCGACCAGGGTGGCGCTGACCGCTGGGGACTTCCCATCGCGTCACGAAGACCGCGCTGGCGCGCGGACACTTCACTGCGAGTCGGTGAGTCGGACGGGCGCGGCATCATGGTGACGACAACAACGGCGGACACGAAGATGATAGTAGCGATGATGGTGACGGTGGTGACGGCGACGAAGGCGAGTCCAATAACTGCGCCGATGCTGGTCAGGCTGATGGCGATAATGGTGTCCACGCGTCGGGGGTTAGAGTTTTGGAAGGATTTCGAAATGCGCGCGCGGCCGGCGCGCGCGAGTGACCCGCATGGTATTATTTGACAGGGATCGTGCACCCCCCCACCCAGCAAGCGCGCAAGGACGCTCGAATTATGTCGACATGCGCGCGCGAGGAGCCGGCGTGGTTTCATTCGACGGGAATGTTGAAAAAACGATGGCTGCTCTGGAAAATAGCAAGAGCGCGCGCGCAGACTTGTTTGAGACGCCAGTTTGCAAAACACATGTTTTTTATGCTTTCTGGAACTTCGAACTACAAAGCAGTACGATTAGTACTGAAATGTTTGAAGAATCTCGGTATGCGCGCGCGACGCCGCGCGCGTTGTGGACTTTGTCAGATACGCTGCAATGGATTATTGGAAACTGGTTGTCGGTAAACGGGCGCGCGCGATTGGTATTATCTGACAGGGGTGAGAGGGCGATAAAGGGGACTCCCTGGGATGCTACGCATTCTTCAACATGAACGATGGGGTAGAATCGAATATAAACTGCAAGGTCCTCGCGGGGAGCGCTAATGTCGGGAGGATGTAGTCTAGATTCCCTATTGGAAAGGAGACCCGATGTGGAGCGATATATGTGGTGCGCGGCCTACGTGGTGCAATATATATGTATATATATATATATATACATATATATATGTATAGATATGAATGTGTGGTGACATATATGCATATATATATATAGAGAGAGAGAGATTGTGCAGTCTTTGTGCGGCGTAGGTTGGGAAATCGGTGCGGTGCAATGTATGCAGTGCGCAGCCTGTGTGGAGCAACTCTACGCGGTGCAAAACACGCATATCAACTAAGTTGTGCAAGATGCGTTGTGCAATCTATGTGGTACAACGACGCCGACGCCGACGACGACGCCGACGACGACGACGACGCCAACGAAGGCGACGACGAGGGAGGAGGAAGGACGACGACGGCGACAACGACGACAACGACGACAACGACGAGGGAGGAGGGAGGACGGCGACGACGCGAACGACGAAGAAGGAGGAAGGACGGCGACGCCGACGACGACAACGATGAGGGAGGAGGGAAGACGACAACGACAACGACGACAACGACGACGATGGCGACGAAATAGGAGGGACGACGACGAGACGCCGACGACGGACGACGACGACGACGAGAAAGGAGGAGGAGGACGACCACGGCGACAACGACGACGGAAACGACCACGACGCCAACGAGGACGACGACGACGAACACGAGGAAAGACAGAGGACGACGTAGGCGACGACGACGACGACGACGCGGGAGGAGGGAGGACGGCGACGACGACGACGACGACGACGACGACGACGACGACGCTACAGCGCGCGCGCACGCTTTTGTTGAAAATCCGTGTTGCGAAACCTTGTGTTTTTGTAGGCTTTTTGGAGACACGATCTTGAAATCCTTCCGAAGCCGATGGGTTCTGAAGGTTTCCGGCATACGCGCGCGACGACGCGCGCGTCTGCCCTCCGTCCCGTTTTTTGCAGAGGATTCTCGCGACGGCGCACGCGCAAGGGCGTTCGACAGATCTCGACATGCGCGCGCGCGTAGCCCGTTTGAGAGCATTTTGTGAAAATCTTGAAAACCTATGGTTTTCTGAAGATTTCGCAAGAGCTCGCGCGGAAGCTTTTTTAGCAAATCAGTGTTGCGAAACCCTGTGCTTTGGTGTGTTTTTTGGGAAACTCGATTGCGAAATCCCTCCGGCACCGAAGGTTTTTGAAAGATTTCGGCATGCGCGCGCGACGACGCGCGCGTGCGCACTTCGTCCCACTTGTTGCAAGAGATTCGTGAAAAAGTGCAATGTTAGAACAAAAAATGTCACCGCATAGTGTTTTTCACAAAGGAACCTCAGGGGGGGGATACCGGCCGGCCTGGGATAGTGCAAATTCATATTTAGGATGGACGAGTGGTCAGAATCATACATGATTGACATACCCGAAAAGGGGATTGATAACGCCGGGGGGGGTAGATTATATTCTGTTTTTAGAAAGGAGAATATAGATGGTGCAATCGATATGGTGCACTCTATGTGGTTCAATATACGTGGTGCAATATATGCGGTGCACTCTATGTGTTGCAATCAATCACTTGCTCAATTTGAAGCTGTCCTCTCCACTGCTCGCGCAAACATCCCACCCTCCCACCCGCAACTTGGTTTGCAAAACCTCTTACGACCGACAACGACGACACCGACGACAACGACGACGACGACACCGACGACGTCTCCGACGACTTCGACGACGACAACGACGCCGACGCCGACGACGACGCCGACGCCGACGACGACGAAGACGACGAAGGCGACGACGAGGGAGGAGGAAGGACGACGACGGCGACAACGACGACAACGACGACAACGACGAGGGAGGAGGGAGGACGGCGACGACGCGAACGACGACGAAGGAGGAAGAACGGCGACGCCGACGACGACAACGACCAGGGAGGAGGGAAGACGACGACGACAACGACGACGACGACGACGGTGACGAAATAGAACCGACGACGAGACGCCGACGACGGACGACGACGACGACGTGGGAGGAGGAGGACGGACGACCACGGCGACAACGACGACGGAAACGACCACGACGCCAAAGAGGACGACGACGACGAACACGAGAAAAGACAGAGGACGACGTCGGCGACGACGACGACGACGACGACGCGGGAGGAGGGAGGACGGCGACGACGACGACGACGACGACGACGCAAGAGCGCGCGCGCACGCTTTTGTTGAAAATCCGTGTTGCGAAACCTTAGGTTGTTGTAGGTTTTTTGGGCACACGATTTTGAAATCCTTCCTAAACCGATGGGTTTTGAAGGTTTCCGGCAGACGCCCGCGACGACGCGCGCGTCTGCATTTCGTCCCATTTTTTGCAGAGGATTCTCGCGACGGCACACGCGCAAGGGCGTTCGACAGATTTCGACATGCGCGCGCGCGAAGCCCGTTTGGTAGCATTTTGTGAAAATCTTGAAAAAGCTATACTTTTCTTAAGATTTCGCAAGAGCTCGCGCGGAAGCTTTTTTAGCAAATCAGTGTTGCGAAACCATGTGTTTTGTATGTGTTTTGGAAACTCGATTGCGAAATCCTTCCGGCACCGAAGGTTTTTGAAGGATTTCGGCATGCGCGTGCGACGACGCGCGCGTGTGCATTTCGTCCCATTTGTTGCAAGGGATTCGCGAAAAAGTGCTATGTTAGAACAAAAAATGTCACCGCATAGTGTTTTTTACAAGGGAACCCCAGGGGGGGGAACCCGGCCTGGCTGGGATGATATGATTTCATATTTAGGATGGACGAGTGGTCAGAATCATAGATGATTGACATACCCGAAAAGGGAACGGATAAGTCCGGGGGGGGGTAGAGTCTATTCTCCTTCTAGAAAGGAAAATATCTGGTGTGCAGCCTATGCGGTGCAAGTAATGCAGGCCCAGTCGGCGACGGGGCGGCGACGGCTGCCACATAGCCGCAAGAGCGATGAGCCGGTCCAAAGCGAAGGGGTGGCGACGGCGAACCCATAGCCGCCAGACCGACGGGCAGGCCCAGAAGGCGGGAGGCGACGAGGCGGCGACGGGGCGGCAACGGCGACCACATAGCCGCCAGACCGACGGGCAGGCCCAGTCCCGTAGACAAGGAGTAAGAGCCCCTAGGTGCAAGCACTGTTCAGGGAACAGTTGCCCCTACCTGTATAGTATCTAATGTTTGATCGCGCGTTTCGCGCGCGAGCTTCGGTTCTAGCGAGCCCCAGCCCTCGGCGAACACACGGCAGCACGCATGGAACCAGATTTTTAAGAGGTGGAAAGAACGCGGACAAAGAAGACACGCGAGTTCGACAAACAGTCACGCATGCAAGCTCGATGCGGAGCAATGCAGACTGGTGCAAGTCAGCGAAAACTATACAACGGTCTACATTGACTGAGGGAGGGAGGATGGGAGGAGAGCATGGTGGCTCCTCAACAAAACGAAAGGAATTCCAGGTCCAGCCATGGCCGAAACAATGGGGAAATACCAAGAGCCTCTCTGGAGGAGGTCTCTCCGGCCCTGCCTGGTGCTCCCGCTCCTGCTTCTCCGTCTACTCCCCCCCTCCTCCCCCTGCTCCACCACATCTTCCC